GAGTTATCGACAACGATATTCGTCATTGCAGTGGTCAAAATTTGTTGCGGACCCAATCGGCTGCTCCTCGTGAGTCCACAACATTTTTGACCACTGTGATGAAGAATATCGCTGTCGATAAGAGTAACACACCACGCTGAACCACTGTCCATTTCTTAAATAGAAAATGGAATATTATAGTCAATTTGGTAATTGACAACAGTGAATTACGAAATACAGAGAATGCAGACTGCTATTAAACAGTTCCAGTTCTTTATCGAATTATCTTTTTCCACGGGACTCTTCTTCTACCACAGTAATTATTAACAACTGCGGTGCTCAGTTACGTTCCTCCTGTGGCTCTGAGCACTTAGATGAGGAATGTTCTCACGAGTAGCAAATCTTGGCAACCTATGCCAGCCATCGCCCTCATTTAGTTAGTAGAGGGCCTTCCATTGCACTCAGAGAAATTAAATAATGATAACTAGGTCAACACTGGGGTGATGATAACCCAGAGTCAAAAGACGTTTGCTTTAAATGTTAACATATTTTAGCCTTTCAAATGGCTGATCAACACTTATAAAATAATGTAATGAATTGAATGTCTTCACAATCACTTTTGAGAGAAATTATTCCATATCTGAGACAATAACCTTTTTCTGTCCTTAGAAATTTTCATCCAAGAATGCTGTTAAATGCTCTCAGCTATTATTCAATATTGTAACTTAGTTTTGTTAGGTAAACTTTTCTAATTCAGTTTTGCCTCTTAGTCCATAACTTCGGTTAAAAAACTATTAAATCGGCTGTGGCATGTGATGATGATACAATACTTATAGATAGTTAATTTCAACAATGTTCATAAGTGATGGTGTAGGAAAACTTGCACCATTGTTCCCTCATTTGACCTTAATACATGCTGGTATGCTTTAACTTTTAGCAAAAGTTATGGCACTGAGTGCTGAATACATCTGTGTATATCTTTTCTCTCAGGTAGTTTACCTGTTCCTGAATCTTCAACCAGTGATCTTGTGGAAAAATTACCAGAACTATGCATGGAACTTATAAGGCCCGGAATGGGAGGTGAGTGAAAATGGTTATTGATTACCTCTCAGTGAATTAAATAAATGTAAGAATTCTTTTAATAAAATGCCTTCATTGATTGTGTATCAAATTATCACTTTTCAAGAAAAAGTTTTCCCTCTCATAATAACTTACAATGAATGCTTCTACTCCTTATTCAAATTATAACTTTTAGAGGGAAATTATTCCCTCGTAAAGATAATTCCTCTTGGCCTCTACATTTAGATAATTTTTATATTAAGTGAGATTGCCATCTAATACTTTCAGCTATTGTCATGTTAACTGTCGATTTTCATTGGAGATTATTAGTTTTTCCTCATTGTTTACTGTGGTGGAAGTGAGTATAAAGTTGGCTGTGGCTCATTTTGATGAAACAATTTTTCTTAATGAATAAAGGCTGATAGTTTCGAAAGAAACTGTTTGGGGCTGCGTCGGTGG